GAATATAAACATGTCAGGAATATGATTATGATGATTGTTTAACATTAAAATCTGATTGTCAAACGAGTATTGAGAGATATTGCTCTGGAACAGCATTCAAACTCAGCCATTTTGAATACATGTATATATCTATAACATGATGTATAACAAATATATAAAATTTGAACATAATCAGTCAAAGCATGTCAGAGATATGGCTCTATAAGCCCAATCATTAAAACAAAATGGCCGCCAGACAGCCGATCTGAAAAATAAAATGATGTGCATCAGGAACCCATAATGTCTGATGAATGTACCAAGTTTGAACGAAATCCATTCATAAATGCCAGAAATGCTTAATATTTGATGATTTTTTAGCACAAAAATGGCCACCATTCGGCCATTTTGAATATGATCGTCAAACTAATATACCGTACTCGACCGCGTTAGCGCCCAGAGGCCTCAACTCAGACAATCACGATTTTTTAGGGGTGGGCGCTTACCCGAGCACCCCCCTCGAAAAAGAGTGCGAATGAAAAATTTGATTCATCAAGTAACAGATTACGTCATTGATTTTCACAATGAAGAAACAGAAATGATCACAAAAAATATGCACATTTTATTACAATATTAATTACGTACCACCAGAATTTACGAAATTAAAAACATTTGAGTCTGTTGGAACACAGTCGAAGTCAAAATTGTCATATTATCTCCACTGACAAAGGTGTTGGATCGTACGCAAACTCTCGATGAAAATCACTTTCCGCCATGATGCATTTGCAGATTTCACCTGCAGTGGTGTCCTTTGACCTAATGGGTCAAGTTGGTTATTAACCAATCACAATGCTGTGTTGTACTGACGCAATTCTTCGGAAATTCCCGAAGACTTTCCGGTAACGCAATGCGGAAGTGAATTATCGATGTCGAAGTACGATCTCTTGGAATTGATTTCAGCGAATAAACGACATAGTTTTTCCAAAAAACTAGTAACTAGCCATTTTTGAGAGGTAAACTGAATATGGCATGAAATATTTACCGCATTTTACTTGTATTAACATATCATTGTTGAAGCGTAGTTTACGCACGGTTACCGTGTTCTACGCATTCACAACATGTTCACAGTGGTCGATATCCACGCTGTATCATATAAAAACGATTACCAAGATTCATTACGCAAGACCAAGTTTTAAATTACTTACATTTTGAAGGGGTGGGCGCTTTGCCGAATGTGACCCCGAATATAAAAATTGCGCAAAAGTGGGGGGTGGGCGCTTGCCCGGGCATGGGCGCTAACGCGGTCAAGTACGGTATTTGTATATCTATGACATGATGTATAATGAAAATTTGAACATAATCAGTAAAAGCAGAATATGACGCAAGAACCACATTAATTATAACAAAATGGCCTTTTGAATTTTATCTGAAAAACATGTACATGTATGATGTATGTGTGAAGTTTGATTATGATTGGTCCAGGCATTTCTAAGATACAGGTCCAGATGCACGCACGCACGTGCGCACTCGCACGCACACACAAGGGCAAAAACATAAGTCCCAGTTTTCGGACTACGTACGAATGGGGACTAAATATGCAGGAATTTACAATAAGGATATACTTTCATAAATGAGAAATGCAAGTCTATGTCCTTAGATTTATTTTTTCCTTTAAAATATTGCAGATCTGTGTTGTGGCAAAATATTAAGTGACAAAAAAAAGATCAACCTGCACACCCAAATACATACATTTTTGTTAGGCCTTACAGTAAACACAAGTGTATGATGCGCATATTAATAACTATAAGACTCACATTAATAGTGTCCAGTAACTTCTTTGTTGGCTTTTTTGTTTTTAGTTTTTCTTTCCACACTTCTTTGTACTGTTTACCCAGTTCTCTATGTTTGCTCATACTAGACCATGACCACATACTTGTTCTCCGTTTCACTGTCTCTTCTAATATACTAGACTGGGCATAATGCCACCTGCAAACAAAAACCAGATATATGTTGATGTCAGGAATAATAACGTATAAAGTGTACGCAACTGGTGTGGTTTGCGATGAAAATCCTATGAAGTCACACACAGAAAACAACCATTTTCTTTTTACTGCGAGATCCCGCGTTATGCATGAAATCAAACATCGAAACAGGACGTACAAAGGCCATAGCATACTGTTGTAGTGGTACCAAAACATGGCGAGGGATTTGCCAAATGTATTTGTTGGATATTTCCATGCCTAATGATATGCTGTACACATTTGATGATGGTCAATTTTGATGAAGTAAGGGTATTTCAATGTCATATTCCCCTACAAATGATTATGACATTGAACTATACAAAAAGAAATTCAAAATCAAACCATTCAATTTTTGCAGAAGACAGGTGTGGCCTGCACCATGATCTTAAAATCTTGTGGCAAATGTATATTTCTAGAAATACACAATGCAATGCAATGCGAAGGAAATCTTTCATAACCACAAGCATTTTTGAATTGGCAAATAATTAACCTTGATGATTTCTGTTTAGGAAGTCTACTGTATTCTATAATACTGCTGGTCAGAAATTAGTTCAATTGTATTTCTAAATAAAATTAACCTGGACATAAATATGCATAATGACAAACAGCAACACATCCAGGGACATCTAGTCTTGGCTTTATGCAACATACATGTACATGTAGTGAAACACACGACTGTTATGCAAAGTGAGTATTAAAATCATTACATTCTGCAGTACCTTAAAGTGCCACAGTTAATGCACAATGATGTGTTGCGAACTGTGACACTTTATTTAAAAATAGGGAAATCTTTACCATTCTTTAGCATGTCCTTTTAGTGGCACACTGGGTCTATATTTCCGATAGGGTTCATTTCTTGACATCCTTTCAAACGATTCTAACATTTCCATAGTGTCACGAAACTGAAACACAAACATATGTCTTGAGTATTCTGTAAACCATGTTATGCTTTGATTATAAAAGGAAAATGTTGATGTAACTAAGTCTCATCCAGCACACAGCAACCAATACATCTTTCCTACAAGACATGCCCTCTAGCAGCAATGTGCTTCTATGTCAAAAACCGTTGATACGAAAGCCATTTAAGGCATCAATATCATTCTGATTTGTAGCCGTTCAACTATTATGTTATAAAGTGAGTTCTCTATATTCTAGATGAAAAATGACATTGATTTAAAAAAATATTAAACAAATATTATTAACTATGGTAATTAAAAATGGAAGAAAGCAAAGAGTTCTCACCTGTTTTTTTGAAAATGACACAGCAATTTCTTCCAAGATTAGGTTGAAATAAACCTTTGGTGTTTCTAAATCAGATGCCGGTTTAGGATTAATTCTTAGCTGAGACTTCATGGATATCGGTTTTATCACTGCAAAACACGGTGAATTATTGGTTTGCAATCAGTCTAGAGCCTTCAAACACTTGGGAATGTTTGTCAGTTTTAACCAATAGCGCCACAGAACACAGCGGGTGCTTGGAAATATTTGTCAGTTCTAGTCAATAACAACACAGAATACAGTGGGTGCTTGGAAATGTTTGTCAGTTATAACCAATAGCAACACAGTGGGCGCTTGGAATTGTTTGTCAGTTCTAACCAATAGCAACACAGAACAGTGGGCGCTTGGAATTGTTTGTCAGTTCAAACCAATAGCAACACAGAATACAGTGGGTGCTTGGAAATGTTTGTCAGTTCTAGTCAATAGCATCACAGAATGCAGTGGGTGCTTGGAAATGTTTGGCAGTTCTAATCAATAGCAACACAGAATGCAGTGGGTGCTTTGAAATGTTTGTCAGTTCTAACCAATAGCAACACAGAATACAGTGGGTGCTTGGAAATGTTTGTCAGTTCTAGTCAATAGCATCACAGAATGCAGTGGATGCTTGGAAATGTTTGGCAGTTCTAATCAATAGCAACACAGAATGCAGTGGGTGCTTTGAAATGTTTGTCAGTTCTAACCAATAGCAACACAGAATACAGTGGGTGCTTGGAAATGTTTGTCAGTTCTAACCAATAGCAACACAGAATACAGTGGGTGCTTTGAAATGTTTGTCAGTTCAAACCAATAGCAACACAGAATACAGTGGGTGCTTGGAAATGTTTGTCAGTTCTAGTCAATAGCAACACAGAATACAGTGGGTGCTTGGAAATGTTTGTCAGTTCTAACCAATAGCAACACAGAATACAGTGGGCGCTTGGAATTGTTTGTCAGTTCAAACCAATAGCAACACAGAATACAGTGGGTGCTTGGAAATGTTTGTCAGTTCTAACCAATAGCAACACAGAATACAGTGGGTGCTTTGAAATGTTTGTCAGTTCAAACCAATAGCAACACAGAATACAGTGGGTGCTTGGAAATGTTTGTCAGTTCTAACCAATAGCAACACAGAATACAGTGGGTGCTTGGAATTGTTTGTCAGTTCAAACCAATAGCAACACAGAATACAGTGGGTGTGTGGAAATGTTTGATTGCCTATATGACCATAATGCATTTTCATGATTTTCTCAATCAGCATTCATTGCATACTTGCGAGGACTAATCGTAAAAATCTTTGTTAATATTTATATACTTACTGTAGTCATAGGGTGGTATGTTTTTCTCACGAGCAGCAATGCCACCTTTCAAAACATTCTAACAAGTAAACAACAACAAAATAGTTATTGTAGAAATAGATTGCTGTAAACATTAAAGTTAAACTATATGATAATGTTCCACCTAGTGGAGAACTAAAAGAGCGACATTTAACCATGCAAACACCATAACACGCCAACGTTTTTATGCAAATTAGTATAATTTTAAATTTTGAACTGAATGGATATAATTTCCTATTGACTTTTTGATCTCATCTTTATTGAAAAATTAGAAAATTAATTTTATGAATTGTGATAAAAGTTTGACTTTGACATTGAAAAGGTTTTACTCGCAGCCAACAAAGACACTTTGTATTTTAATCTTTATAAATATTGTAAAATTTCAAATTGAAAAGAGAGGTTTCTATTGGCTGATTGAATGTTTTCAAATGATGTCATTACACACTGTGCTTGTTGATTGGATAATTGTATTCAACTGCCATTGAAATTCATAAATATTTACTGTGGAATACTTTATTTTCGCTGAAAAGGCTTTTCCGGCGTTTTGTGTGTAACTGACTTTTGATGAGTTTAATGTAAAATATAGGAAAAAAAGTATATTCGCTGGATTTTATTTTCACGGAATCATCCCTTCAGCAAAAATAGCGAAAATAAATTCCAAGCGAAAATAAAGTATTCTACAGTATTTGAAAAAGAAGAAAATGTCCTTGTTGAGCTGAGAGCAGGCAATTAGGTTTTCTCAAATGAGAGCATTATTATCATTATTATTCAACCTTAATTTATGACAAAAGAGACAAAATGTGGCATTGTCATGCGAGAATCCGTCTTGCAATCAGATTAGTATACAGGTGTATGTAGTGAATGGAACGTCGCCCCAGACTTTCTTTGTGGCATCTGTGAATGGTGCAGTTATAGGCACTGCTTTTAGTTTTTGATCAATTTTGAAATTTTCACAACATTTCATAAGGGGGTAAAAAGCAGACTATAACCTAAGGTGCCTGAACTTGACTTTGGTGCAGAAAGGGTTAAACAAAATCTACATACACAGACAAAAAATCAAACATATTTTTCAAAAAAACTTTTTCTGTTTGAAAATACCAAGTACATGTAAGACTTACCTGAAGTTGTGACCTCGGTAAATCACTATAAAGTCTGGAATTGGTATTCCAATATAAAGCTAAACAGTCCAATTCAATGAGCTAAATGAAAATACAGATGATTTAAATGTAGTAGTAATGTAATTTATAGATATCTGTATCAAAGGTGAACAGAAGTGAGCCCTCACAGTCATCACCCTGGGTTGTCATTACAAGGGTCAATAGGTCAATTTTATAAGCCGAGACTATAGCTCATACTGTAAAGGGGGTAATTATTCACTGGATTTGAATTTTGCTTATTTCGCTGACTGGAAAATACGCTAAATTAAAACCCAGTGAATCTGTAAAATTTAGCATAGAACACATAATCTAAATGATAATATCGTGAATTTAAAACCCACTGAATATGCCTGAAATAGCAAATCAGCGAAATTTAAACTCAGTGAAAAAATTTGTCATTTTACAGTAGTTTGCAAATCAAAGGTCATTGTTTATAAGACTGAATGATCAACCTCTGAGGAAGAACTTACAGGACGTAGGTCATGAGCATGAACAGTGACATATGACCAACTTTAATATTAATTATGTATGTATGTCATTGTTCATAAGCTGTGACCGAGTTGACTGACCTTCAACTTGTCAGAAAATATACACACTATTTTGCAAAAGAAAGATTTTACATGATGCTGAATCAATTGCTGTATAATATTTTTAGGTAACATCAACTGTGTGAAACAACAATTTACAAATCGTGTATTGGGAAATGTTTACCTTGAATATCATGTTTGACGCCGAGTCTATGAGACATTTCTTCCAGTTCGCATCACAAGTCTGGAATAAGTCAGAAGTATCAATAACAAATTTCAGATCAGGTTTACATGAGAAGAATATTTATTAATTTATTTTTTTATATTTTTATATATATATTTTTATGTGCAAATTGCAAGTGGAAGTACTGAGGGTGTTCAAATCCACTCTAGTCTGTAATTATTCTCAATTCTCTGAAGGTACATTGTTTGATATATAACAACATTAAATTAATAAACAAACAAATAAATAAACAAACAAACAAACAAATAAATAAATAAACAAATTAATCAATAAACAAATAAATAAATAAACAAACAAACAAACACAAACAAACTAACAAACAAACAAACAAACACAAACAAACAAACAAACAAATAAATAAATAAATATATACCGTAATAGCCGTCTCTAGTTTGCACTGCTTCTACCCAAATACCTCCCCTCAACAGTGTCCTAACCTGCCCCATCCACAACACCTTGTATCTTCCTAATCCTTTTACCCAAGTTCAAACCTGCTTAGCTACTACATAATACTTCCCTAATACTTATGCTTTCCCTGTTCAAACCTGTCTGGTTTCTACCCCCTCAACCCCAGGCCTAGCCTGCCCTTAATTCTACCCACAATGCCGCTTACCTGGAAAGACAAATCATGTAGTGTTGCACCCACAGCAAATGGTGACTCAGGATTGGTGTACTTATCTTCATATCTCACGTGAATATTACTAATCTGTACTTGTAAATTCTTCACAATCTGGAATGCCATCTTTTCAGCAAAGGAGTCAGCTTTTTGTTCCTTCGATTTTCCTACAAAAATAAATGAACCGTAAAAGTTTTCTGAACTTTCAAATTTCAATGCCAACCTTTAACCTTTTATCACCATACTTTTTCGCCCACATTTTTCTGTATTTTTTTTTTCAATATTTCTGAAAATGAACGCTAATTTTGGAGCCAACAGACACAATTTGAGTCAATTTTCAGTTTTTACTCAAAAAATTTGGCTATTTTTGTTCCAATCTTCTGAAGGAAAGTGCAGACTACAAGTAGGACTATTTTGTGAATTTGTGATTTAAAAGAGGGAGCTGTTGGTGAAAAGGTTAAGCTAGTGATATTGAAGATATGAAGATATTGAATAATCTTTACTTCTAAAAAAAAAAAAAAAAAAAAAACATTAAAATTTTCACTGAGACAAAATTTTTTTTTTTCAGTTTACTAGAGCTAAGACAAAACAATATGTGGAGCAAATACTAGTGATGAGAGATAACTAGTTGTCCATTTTGCAATTTTTATCTGATCAATGGCATCAAGCAAACATTCAATTTGTTCATTCTCTACTCAGACAGTTTAACAATTTTTGGAGCTTTGTGTTCTTGCTGTATTTTCTTTTCAAATAGTTGTTTATATCATCAGGGCTATTTTTGTTTAAAACCAACATGGCCGACTACGATAGTATCCCACATAACTTTGTTCTGGGCTACAAAATCTATGTTGACATCACATAATTTTAACAATGATAGGATAAACAAGTCCTACAACTTCCACATCACTGTGGTCACTAGGTTTGTTTCTGAGTGACCTCTACACTAACTGCACAAGCTCAAATCTGCATAACACTCGGCATTCTGGGATTTTTCTGAACCTTATGAATACTCAACAACTTTACACATATGATCTCTGCTTATTATAGGTGTGAATCATCTGTTTAGCTGTACGCAAACAAACAGACAAAAGAGATTCTGTTGCCAGACCAGTGATAGGGAGACTGTGTTCAAATCAACAGCAAAAGGCCCAATTTAAGATCTGGAAGCCAAGCTTGTACGAGAACTGACGACAGAAACAACAGTCATTCCCAACGTATACAATCATGTAAAATATATTGTTTGTCTGCTGGGATGCTTTAATGTCATTATATGAGCACCATCAGTAGAGAAAACACTTCACAAACACATACCTTTTTCTTTCTGCCTGGCCAACTCTTTTGCTTGTTCAACTTTTTCAAGTTCTTTTTGTTTTTTTTCCTCCTTCTGTTTGGCGTCTTTCTCAGCATCATACTTGATATCTGTGGATTTGAAAAGATAAGTATTCATGTGAAGTTGAACACATTGTCTAATTGTACCATACAACCTCTATTGGTTCGCACCACTGAAACTGTTTTTTTTTTCATTGAATACATGTATTTACAATGATATGGGGCACCCTAGTGTTGAAAGAATGACAGTAAAATGCTATTGAACAGGACTAAAAAAATTGTACCATTTCTGATTTAACTGGGAAACCATTTTTACTGAAAGGTTGTCTAGTATCAGATGTGAGTACATGTAAAAGTCTCAAACTGCCATTGCACTGAAAGGGATAATGCCCTGACTGGCTTTACAGTGCATTGTGGGATAGCAGATGGGAGTAAGGCCCTAACTGGTTTTGCAATGCATTGTGGGATATCAGATGAGAGTAAGGCATAAACTGGTTTTACAGTGCATTGTGGGATATGGGAGCAAGGACCTAACGGGCTTTGCAATGCATTGTAATATATAAAATGGGAGTAAGAACCTAACTGGCATTACAATGCATTATGGGATATTATAAAT